CGCAGTACCCCCAGACGCAGCACCCCCAAGCTCAGGACCTCCAGGCTCCTCATGTGCAGGCTCAGCACCTCCAGGCTCCGCACCCTCACGCTCCTCACGCTCAGCACCCCCAGACTCAGCACCCCCACCCTGCGCACCACAAAGCTCCGCACCCCCAGGGACAGCACCACTCCCAGCAGAACCGGAGTCACCAGTGACCTCAACAGGCGCAGGGACGGGAGGGTGTACCTAAGAAACACCTGAAGGAGCAGGGCCTGGCGCAGGGAGGGGGTCTACTTGGGGAGGACCTGGGGCGAGAAAGAGCGGCGGGAGGGGGCGAGGAGCAGTGCGGTAGGGGAAGAGGCGGTAAAAGGGGACCGACTCGTCAAAGGTGACGTCCTGAGACGCAAAGACACGGCGCGAGGCGGGGTCGTAAAACTGCCAGCCAGGTGCGTCAGGGATAAAACCAAGGAAGACACAAGGAATGGCGCGAGGGGAGAGTTTGTCTGCAGTGGTATCGCGGACAAAGACACGGGCACCCCTGACCCGGAAACGCGACACGTCGCCAACCTTCCCCGTCCACAGCAGTGTGGGCGAGGTCTCCGATAAGGAGACACGGGGCCAGAGGTTGAGCTGATGCGCGGCGTACCGGACCGTAAACGGCCACAAAAAATGGGGGGCAGCCGCATGGATCATGGAGGTACGAGCGACATCCATGACCAAGCCAATGCAGCACTCAGCAACCCCATTCTGCTACGGAGAGGCCGGAAGCGTGAAAGTCTGACGGAAGCCGTGCTCCGCACAGAAGGCCGCCAAGAGGTCTGAGGAGAACTCACCACCTCTGTCAGAGTGCAGACGCAGGACAGGAAAGTTTGACTGGAACTGCTCGCGGAGCAGGAGACAAACAGCGCGGATCCAGGGGATCAAAACATTAGGGACATCCCCCTTGCGCTTTAAGGGGAAGACCGTGGTGTAACGCGTGTAGTCGTCGACAACCAGCAGGAAGTACCGCTCGTGGCCCTGTCCACGGACGCGGCCTGGGCCCCACACGTCCAGGTGGAGAATCCGCAGGGGAGCCTCTGTGGGAGGGAACGAGGAGGAGTGAGGAGCGGCGCGCTGCCGCCCCTCGACGCAAGGAATGCAGGGCGGCGCAGGCGAGGGAGGGAGGGCAGGCAGAGACCTGGGAAGACCAGAGACCAGGCTGCGAGAGTGCACCCTACGCAGGCGAGGTAGGGAGGGATGACCAAGGCGGTGGTGCCACAGGAGAGTGTCGTGCGACAACCGGTGACACTCACACTGGGTAGCTACTTGATCAAACGCGTGTAACTGGGGAGACAAAGGGGCAGAGCGTGACGCAGTGGTGAGGGTGTGCAGACGGGACCCTGGCGCACGAGTGAACATGGCCAGGTGGCGGCCGGTCTCGGAGCACATGCAAATCGCCACACGCTGCCGGCCAGGGGTGAAGGTGTCAACCCCCGCATCCTGGAGGACAGCGGTGCTCACCAAGTTCGTAGAGAACGAGGGGAGGTGGAGACCAGACAGCTCGCCAGACGGGACCGCCGGACACGGAAGCACGGTGGAAGACCGTGCAAGCACTGGGCCCCCAGAGGGGTCAGCTAGTGAGACAGGAACAAGTGCAGGAAGGGGAGTGACTGTGGTACTGTCGCGAAAGAAACAGCGGGAAGCACCAGAGTCAAGTGTAAAAGTGTGCAAGGCCTGTGCAGGCGCAGTACCAGGGGGAGCAGACTCACAAGCACCTAGTGCAGCAGGCGCTATACCGGGGACTATACCAGGATCCGGCGGCACACACAAGTAGCAGTCACCCTCAGCACTAACAGACAATGCATACATAGCAGCAAGAATAGCCTCATAGTCAAGATCAAAGATAGGTACATCACGCCTAAGTAGCTCTGCCAAGTTGGGGAACTCAGGAGCATCAGGAAACTTGGCGCGCCAGGCGTCGCTAAGTCGAGCGAAGCAGCGCTGCTCAGTGTGATAACCTGTGCACTGGCGACCAGTGCGGGGACCTGTGCGAATGATATAGGGGCAGCGCCCAGGACCCCCAGAAGCCCCACGTCCGGCATACCAGTCAAGAAGCTACTGGGAAGTGGGGGTCTGGAGCTGACGCTACTGGTGCTGCAGCTGCTGCTGCGTCTGCTGCTGGCCCTGACCACCACTACCACCACCGCTCCCTCCTCCCCCACCGCCGCTGCTACCCCCTCCACCGCTCCCAGTGCCTCCACCGCTCCCACCACCACCTCCACCGCCTCCACCCCAACGACCACCCCCACCACCTCCACCTCCCCCGCCGCCTGCACTACTGCCACCTCCATCGCCACCCCCACCGCCCCTGCCACCCCTGCCACCCCTGCCGTTGCAACGCTTCTCACTAGGAGCGGAAGCAGCTCCGACCTTCTCAGCACCAAGGTAGTCGTGAGCAGCAGCTGCGGAGGCGTAGGAGGGGGTGAGAGGGGAGGGGGAGCACCCCTCAAAGAGGGGAGAGCGAGGAGTGCCACGAGCAGCACCTACAGTGAGGATGTTCTTTTCTGCTGCAAGGAGGTGCTTCTCGAAGTCGTCGACAGTTAGAGTGGGGGGGTCTAGCGCGAGGAAGTGGTCCCTGACTGAGCTAAGAGTGTCAGGGAGGCGGGTGACGAGGAAATAGAGAGTGAAGTACATCAGGGGGGGGGGGGGGGGGGTAGCGGCGCAGAACTCGGCTGAAAGGGCGGCACGAAAGCGAGTGTCAGTAGCGCGCACGTGGGAAATGAGGTCCTCAGCAGTGGTGAACAAGGAAAGGTCGGGGAACAGGTAGGGTAGCATGAGCCGACCTATGGCTGCAGTGGCCGGAGAGGAGTAGCGCGCAACTACAGCGTCATACAGCTTCTTAGCAGTTTTGTGCTGGCTGAAATGCGCGCACTCAGTAATCGGCAGATGGTTCCTAATAGCTAGGCGTGCAGCAACATCACGAGTTTGCCATTGCGAGCGTTCGAGAGCAGGAGCATCGGCAGCAGGAGCAAAGGCAGTGCCAGACACGTAATCGAACAGTGAAACGCCATCTCTGGCATCGGTCAGAAGGAACAGTTGGAGATCATCTAACCACACAGTGAACTCTATGGGGCGACCGTCAGGCTCGAACGCGAGAACGTTAGGCGTCGTCATAATAGCAACAGGCAGAGGCAGGAGGCAGTAGACAAGAGGCAGAAGGCACCAGGTCACAAGCAAATGTCATAATATTATTCTTATGTTCTAGCCTGTAGTGGGGTGCTCTATAGCGAGTACAACCCTTCTAGGGTTTGCTATTTGTTTCCCCATTTCTGCTAGTTCATCCCTCTTTCTTCCTTCTAATTTTGACAGCAAAGACCGAGGTAGCAGACAACAGGCATGAGACAGCACGTAGCAGGCAGAAGCGGCCGCACGCGAGCTCCTTAGGCAGCGCGCTAAGCAGCTGCGGGCCGCGCAGGCGGCCGACGCGACGCGCAGCGCAGCGGCGGGCCGCACTGGCGACAGATGCGGCGCGCGGGGCGACGGCGGGCTGCACGCGACGGCGGGCTGCGTGCGGCGTTGGGCAGCGCGGGCTCTACGCGGGCTGCGCGGGCCACGCGGGCCGGCGCACGGCGCTACAGCAGTGGCGCGCGCTAAAAGCAGTGGCGTGCGCGCTAGTAGACAAGGCGCGTGCGAAAAAAAAAAAAAAAAAAAAAAAAAAAAGGTGACGCGCGCTGCAGTCAATGCGCGCGCGGGCAGTAGGCAAGGCACGCAGTTAGGTGGGCCCGATTCTTAGGTCCTAGAGACCTCCTGCTCTAGTTACCATGTTAAGAACTAAGGCAAGAGTGAGTGGATTAGGTAGAGATTAGGGTACATGACTAGAGTGTCGAGGTTGTTTTTGTACCCTCTAAGGCTAACCCCACTACAGCCTACCCAATTATAATCATACAAGTATGTTTGACATAGACGGGAACTATAATAGAAAGCTGAGGAAAACAAGGACAGAGAGATTGAGAGAACGAGGGAGACAGAGAGAGAGAAGAACGTCTCAGCTGAAACGTTAAGAAGCACAAATTTAACGGTAGGCTCACCTTAAAAGATGGATAAGAGAAATCTAGGCGTGAGTTAGCAGTTGGAGTAACAATAAGAAGTCAAGTCCAGAAGCTGGAATGACGGGAGAGATTGGCAGCTGTGGTGGTTGGGAAAAGAGGATGAGAGAAGAGAGCTAAAAGAGAAACTAGACAAACCCTTGAGCAGTACACAATGTGTCACCATTAAATAATCTAAATAAGTGCAGTTTACAAAGAACTGAAGGTGTAGATGGTTAGTGAAAGTTAACCGGATATTGCTAAGGTTTTATGTTCAATTCTTGCAGTTGACAATTTTTCCACACAGTGTGTCAATCGACCATGCTTTTTGTAAATATCATGCAACAATACCAAATATGCAGTTATGGAACAAATATGTAGAATCGATAAAAACTCCGCAACCCTACGACGACTTCTTCGCCTCTTGTTCTATTTCCCGTTAATACATATGAGTTGAGTCAGTGGTGAGGAGGAGACTTCTGCTGCGGCCACGCTCATTGTGTTGTACGTAAGAGTGTGAAACCTTTTGATTGGATTGAGTGTCTGTTCATGCGACTCAATTTTTGCACAGGGCCGGTGGGTATCGCTGGTTTGGTGTGAGCGAAATGGGTACGTGCTAGGGGTTTTTTTATTAGAGTAAAATACTTTGTTTCTCTGAAAATCAGAGTGGTTTTTAGGGGGTCACTCTACCGTATCTGGGTACCGTCATCGCCCGGATATAAGACAGTGTTGAATAGTAGACAGGGGTTGTCTACTATACGGGTGTCTCTTATAAAGAGGCTAGCCTTTTTATACGACACTTATTTGTGTGTACGATTTAAGACATATATGTCACCTATTTTTATATCAGAACCGGGGTTTAGGGGTTTTCTTATAAACAAGGGGGTGTCTTCTAAACGAGCCTTCTTTACTTTAGGGGGGTACATGCATACATTCATGAATCTCTACTTCTACCTAACCCCCCTTAGTCACTGCCTCCTCGGTTGCGCTAACAACAGGCTCTACACCCAGGTCTGGCACTCGCCAGGCATGCCTAGCCGTCTCCCTAGGCTCAATCATGCGGTCAGCCTCGGCCGCCACACCGCGGTAGTTGGGGGTCTCCTGGTACAGCACCTCCAGGCCGGTTGCCACTGCCACCTCCCGCACGCCCTCCACCTGCATCGCCTCCTCCTCCTCCTCCTCCTCCTTTGGAGCCCAACCGAGCAGGCGCGTGTTGTCGCCTGTGGTCCTTCCGAGGGACATGTCCGCGGAGACATCAGTGGTGCTCCTGGCGCGCAGGTGAGACATCACCAGGTGGTTCTCCGTTCCGTCCAGCTTGCTTGAGATCCCACAGTGGCGGAACGCGTCGATGATGATCTGCTTGGGGACTTGATCCCAAGCCTCCGCGATCCACTGCAGCACCACGGGGTGGGGCGGCCTCCACAGGTTCCCTGCGGGTGGGTTTGAGGACGGGGCAGCGAGATGTTAGAGACACGGACATGAAGGAGCATGTTTAAAACAAGGACAGGAAACAGAATAGGAATAATACCGTAAATGAAGGACCAACTCACCCTTCTTCGTCTTCAGGTGAATCCCCTCACGCATGAACCACCTGGCGTAGCGCGCTCGCACAGCAGCCTTGAAGCACCGGTTGATTGAGACGTCCAGGGGTTGAATCTGGCTCGTACAACCCGTTGGGATGACTGCAGGGGTGATGCTGTGCGTGCGGTACGACTGAAGCATGGTCTGGGTGATGTGACCGTGGTAGGAGTCCAACACCAGCATCGCACGCCTCGCGTTCTGGCCGCGCTGGGGGTTCAGATGGGGCAGCACCTCCTTGGACAGCCAGGTCTGCACAGCGCTCTCGTCCATCCACCCGTTGTCCTGTGCTTGGACCACGATTCCTGCCAGGCACACAAGGGACAGATGGGCTTCAGCACAGTGGGGCACGCTCATCAGGCAGTCGCACGTGTCGGAAATTCTCTGTGTGTCCCCTCTCTCCTGACTCCTGCCGTCCATGCCTGCAGCCCTCTGCTCACCCACCCCCTTCCCTCTCTTGGACTCCTCTCCTCCCAATCTCTCTTGCTATTGCTGCTAGGGCACCACCAACTCCTTGTCTGCTGTCTACCGTGTGCCGTGTGACAGAGCTCCATCGTGATGCCTCACTTGCCCCCTCTGGAACAGACTAGGGCTCCTGCTCGCTCTGGTCCAGACCATTCATGCTCCTAGATCGTGCCCTTGCTGTATTCGTGGTGTGGTCCTGGACTCTCCTCCCCTGCTGATTCTCCAGCACCACCACTCCAGACTCTCGGACCTCCACCACTCTCCAGCGTTCCTCGCTGAGGCCGTGGTCCAATGTGTGCTGCCGCGCAGTCCTGCGATACACTTCCTGTCCTTCCTGCAGCCGCCCTCCACATGTCAGCCTCTGCCCCCCGAGCCTCTGCTGGTACCGGCGAGCGTCTCGCAGCTGAGCCACATGGAGATTCTCTAAAGCTGAAGGCAGGAGCGCTCGTAGGTATTCCCCCTTAGTCTTGGCCAGCGCCACCCACAACTCTGGGGTTCCCGCTGTCACCACATCAGTCAACACTTTGGGCGCCCCTACCGGCAGGATTGGCTCTCTGCCATATAGCAGATAGTATGGGGACACATCTCGCAGCGCCGCCTGCTTGCTGAACCGATACCCCGCCGCGACCCAGTGCAGATCCTCATCCCAGCTGCGCTTGTGAGCCTCTCCATATGCCCTTAGCCCTCGCTTGAGTGTTTGCACCATACGCTTTGTGAGGCCGTCTGCTTGCGGATGATATCGGGAGGTCCTCCTGTGCGTAATCCCGATAACTGCCAGATGTCGGCAGCTCCGCGCTGCTCCTGACGCTTCTCCCCCTGCCTTTCCACCTCCCTTGCTAGAGCCATGAGCCCGGCCACTGGCTCTGCCGCTGGCGGGTTGCGAGATAGCCCATCCACGTGCTGGAGCGTCCGGCCTGGCCTGTGCTTCACCACGAAATCGAATTCTTGCAACCGCATGGCCCACCGTGCATTGCGGCCCGTCAGCGTATGATTAGTCATTAGCCACAGCAGCGGCTGGTGGTCTGTTACCAGGGTGAACTCGCACCCCTGTAGATATACTCGGAAGTGCGTCAGTGCCCAAACCGCCGCCAGCCCTTCCCCCTCGTAGGAGCTGTAGTTTGCCTCCGCTGCGTTGCAGCTGCGGCTCGCAAAGGCCACCACTCTCTCCCTCTGCTCTATCTGCTGGCTGAGCACTGCCCCCATGCCTACGCTGCTCACGAACCTGGCCTCTGGTTTCGGCAGCAGAAGGACCGGTCCCGACTTTACTGCTTCCAGCAGGTCTCGCAGTGCCCCCTGCTCCGCCTCTCCCCACTTCCAGGCCACATCCTCCCGCAGCAGCCTGTTCAGGGTAACCACCCGCTTACTAAAGTTCGGCACAAACTTACAGTAGTAATTCAAGAAGCCCAGAATTGCCCTCAGCGCGGAGCGACCACTTGGGATCGCCAGGTTGTCCAACACTGCGACCTTCGCTTGTTGAATGGTCATCTGGCCTCCACATACTTCAAACCCCAGATACCGCACCGTGTTTGTGCCGAAACGGCACTTCTTGGGGTGGCATGTGAGCCCGGCTCCCCTGATGGCTTCCAAGACTTGCTGCACATCCTTCACGTGTTGTTCGGGCGTCGCGCTGAACACTACCACGTCGTCTATGTAGCAGGCCGCGCAGTGCTGTAGCGCACGCAGCACCCGATCCATCGCCTTCTGGAATACTGCTGATGCGCTCTTTAGTCCGAAAGGCATGAACAGCCACTCGTAAAGTCCTTCCTGCCCATGAAATGCTGTCTTCCTCACGTCCGCCTCTACGATTCGTATCTGATTAAAGCCTTGGCGAAGATCTAGCGTGCTGTAGATCACTGCCCCCTGCAACTTGTCAAATATCTCCTCTGGCGTTGGCATGTGATAGCGGTTAGCCACCGTCAGCTTGTTGAGGTCCCTGTAGTCGCCGCACATGCGCCGAGAAAGCACTTCTCCTGTGAGTTCTTTCCTCGCGGCCGCCACGGTTGCGGCCGCGTACTCCGACTGAGAGGGCCTGATGAGCCCTGCCTCTAGCAACTCCCGACACTTCTCCCTGCACAGATCGAGATCTCCTGGGCTCATGCGGCGCTTGCGCTGGTACACCGGCACCTCCTCCGTTAGCCGAATCTCCATCTCTCCCCCGTTGTATTTGCCGAGCTCCGGCAGTGTGAAGGCAAATGCCTGCCGGTGCTTCCTCAGCACGATCCACATCCGCTCCCGTAGGTCTCCCTTCAATCCCTCTCCTACTTCCCATGCTTCCTCCTCCTCTGCTGCTGGTCGGCCTACTGCTGTGATTCCCCCTCCCTCTGTCTCAGCCTCGGGTTCCACCCCTGCCCCTGGCTCCTGCTGACCCAGGCTCGTCTCTGCCACCCCCGCTTTGTTTGGTGCTATTGGCTCGCTGGCTGCTGCTGCTTCTCCGGGTGCTGTCGACAATACTTCCAGCGCCATTAGCGCCCATCCTCGCTCCCTCTACTGCTGTTTTTTCCACCTGCATGTCCACCAGCCACTGTTCCGCCCTCTGCTGGCTTGCGCGCACCTCTTCTCCGCTCGCATCTCCTGGCCCTCCCACTTCCACTTCCATTTCCATCTGCTTGGAGGCCAGGTGCATCTGTATCACGTGCACCAGCCAATGCACGGCCTCCACATCCATTGCTCGCCCGAGCGCTTCCCTCCGCTTGGCTTCCTCCACTCCTGGTGCTGCCGTGGCGTCAGGGACGAACCCCATCGCCAGCTCCCGCTCCCTGGCCGAGAGCTCTTCCCAACGGTCCTTCAGCCGGTCATACACCATGCTTGGGCCAGGCAGCCCCTCGCTCCACACGAAGCCATGGGCCTGGTGGTGCGCCATGAGGGTGGGCCATGCTTCTCTCGGCAGCCCGGGCTCGTTGCACTGGAACTGACTTGGATGATCTGGCTTAGTCACCGGCGCTGGCTCCCGATGAGCTTCCAAGATGTCTTCCACGGGGCGTGACGAGGGCCTTTCGGTCTGTATGAGCTCCCACCTGAGCCTCCCTTATGACACCCCATTCTGCCAATACCGTCTGACCCTGTGCGCGTAAGATCCTTGCTGCACCGCATCCCATGCCACTCCCGGTCCCAGCGCTCCCGCCACCACCTCTAACATTCGGCGCACTGGCTCCCTGCAGTCGGTCGAGAAGTCCGGGTTCTCCAAGATGTATAGATACTCCCCGTGCTGCTGGTACATTAGCTTCATGACTCGTAGTAGCTCCGCAAAGAGCGTGGACCTGGGGTCATCCAATCCTTTGCCCTTCCCGGCCCTTGACACTCCTTGGCACTCCCAACCCGCCACCAGCAGATCCACCCGTCCCCACCGTCGCACGTCCTATGCCGCCACTTCCCTAATGTCGTTGATCAATTCTTCTTCCGTCTCTGCCTCTACACCCAACATCAGTTGAGCCGGGTAAATCCCCCTTAGCTTCCTTGCGTGGTTGAAGGCCATTCTGCGCACCACAGGGTCTATTTCCACTAGTATCCACTTCTTCACTCTGCACCCCGCCTTTAGTGCTGCTGCCAGCCCCGTACCGATCCGTCCGAACAGCTCGACGATGGTTATCGGTTCCTGCAGGCGAGTCAGATCTGTCAACCTCGGGGGCAGCGCCAAGGGCCGCTCAGCCCTTTCTTCTTCCGCTTTGCGCGTCTCCTGCTCCAGCACGTATTGCTTCCAGGACCAGTCTTCGATCTGCTCTTCCACTTCCGCCATGCGCGCTCGAAAGGCCTCCCTCGGCTCACGTCTGACGAAGTGTACTGGCAGCGTGCCCACGGGCCCGTTGTCCCTCCAGTACTGAGTCCGGTAGAGGACTTTCTCCTGCCAGGTGCATATGGTGGCACCCACACGATACAGCAGCTCCATGCCTATCAGCAAATCAAAATCCTCTGACGGCGAGATGCCGCAACGCATCCGGATTGGGCCTTGGTGCCAGGCTGCAGGATCAATTCCACTGGCATGCGGGTGCAGGGCATCCACTTCGGCTCTCCTCCCTCCGCAGTCATCACCACGATGCTCCGTGTAATGAGCCGGTTCGGCAGGTCCAGTTCCAGCTTCTGCGCCAGGCCTTTCCCTAAAAGGATGTGATGCGCTCCTGTGTCGATGATGGCTTGCGCCACCGTCACTCCTCCCACCGTGATTGCCCCCTTTTCGATTGTCAGCACCGATGGCTGACACACCATGCGCTCCTTGGGATGCCTTTCTGATGTCATTTCTTGCTCCGGTTCTGTCGCATACCCACGAAACCGCCTCACCCTCGGGGCCGGCAGCTGCCTCCTTTCCCCTCGATCACTTCTGAGTTCAATCTCCTCTCGCTGCCGCGGGGCCCACACCACGAGCACAAACTCTGCTTCGCTACTTCCTTCCTCCTCCTCTCTTGCCAGCATGGCGGACTCCTTGCGAGCCGAACCTTCCAACTCCCGAATCCGTGCCTGCAGCACTAGAAGCTGCGCCTCCAAGTCCTTCTCGTTCCTTGGTCCCGCCGACCCTGGCCTCCGGCTGTAGCAATCAGAGGTGCGATGCCCTCGCCTGCCGCAGTTCTCGCAGGTGGGGATTTCTGGACATTCCCGTCGCATGTGCCCTTCCTCTTGGCAGTGATCGCACCTAGGCGGCCTGCTGCAATCCCGCTGTAGATGTCCCTCCTGCCCGCACCGATGGCACCTGCGCGTCTCCGCCTCCCGTGCGGCACGCCTGCTGGAGGCTTCTCCGGCTGCCACGGCCGCCTAGGCTGACCCACGCCGTCCTTCGGCCTGCATGCCGCCTCTCTCCATCTCGTAGAGGCGGAGCCCCAGCTCGTGCTTCTTCGCCAACTCATACGCGTACTCCAGCGTCGCCGATGGTCCCATCTCGAACACCCTTCCTCGTACGTCCCCGGCCACCCGCTCGTCCAGGCAGTTAAGGAATTTGGAGACCAGCCTCCACTCATCTCTGCATTCCATGTCCGCCGCGAGCTCGCGCAGTCTACCGTATGTCGCTAGTAGAGATTCTCCCGTCTTCCTTTTGAACGACGCGAACTCCCTCATACGCTCTGGCGTCTGCACGGGGAAGTGGCGCTTCAACGTGTCGAAGAACTGCGCCACCACGTCCCAGGTCACTCCGCTGGCTTGTGCCGGTTCACTCAGCATGCGTTCCAGCTCCATGCCGTATGCGGTCTCCGCCTCTCCTGTCACCGTGTTCGAGAGTCCCCGGAAGAAGTCTTCTGGCTCCAGCCCGTCCTTCATCCAGCGATACTGCGCGTTGCGGATCTGCATCATATAATTGTTCAGACTGCTGCCCACGCCTGGCGTGCCCGCGAAGCGCTCGGGAACCTCGATCTTGGGTAGCGCGGCGTACCTCACGTAGCTCGCGCGAGTTACTTCCGTCGCTTGATGCTCTGACAGGGAGAGACGCCTCAGGCGTCCGAGCAGCTCGCCGTCGGTGCAACTCTCCCCCTACGTATCTCCCGCGCGCGGCTGTGACCCTCCCGTGGTGGCTTCTACCTGTGGTCTCCCCGTCGAGCTATCTCTCGCGTCTCGGCCTTCGCTCGGCAGGTCACCCATACTGTGCCTCCGATGCGGTGCCGTGTAGGCTTCTCTGCGGGCGTCGGCTTCCATCTCGCCCGCTTGCGTCCCTCCACTGCTCCCCGTGACTTCTCCTGCACGCCATCCTGGCGTAGCCGTCGTCGCCAACACCGGCGGCCGTTCGTAACGCTTCCCAGAACGTGTCTGCATGCACCGTCTATGGCGCTTCACTCCGGAGATTTCCTTCGTTGTATGTCAGAATACCTCCTCCTCACTACTGGCTGACAAGCTGGTTCCCTAGCGTGCTCATGACCGCCTGCGACTGGGATAACAGGATTACATTTGAGCAAATTGGAAACATACAACGAAGCAGCCAACCTAGGGTTTCAGCACAGCTATGTACAATATGACTTCTTCCGCCCTAGCCTAGCGCTTCTAGCATGCATACATCACATGGGCGAGGCTCGGGGGTGCCGAGCCGTATTTACAAACCGCAGGCGCTTTGGATCTGCATGGGCTCCAGCGCAAGCCCTCCGCCAGCTGCACGCATGGCTTGCATGTCATACTGCAGCTCCAGCCACATGTCGATTGAGCTGTGCTTGTACGCGTCAACAGCTCTCGCCCTGCACAGGAAATGTAACACAAAAGAAACATACACCCCCCCCCAACTCGTACCCCCAACATTCTCATGCAAACATTCTTGAGCGCTATTTACACTTACGTACACAATTCCTCCTTCCCTCCGCCCTTCTTGATTCTGCCTCTGCTGCGTCCTGCTGCTTCATTCGCTGATAAACTCTTGGCGCTATCCCGGTTCTTATGTGGCCCTCCCGGCTTCGTAAAACCGCGACACACGGTTGAATTCATTACGCATACCTTCCGGAATCTCACAGTTGGGGACGTTCTTCATCTTGAACCACACCCACGGCCGCAGCTTCTCCCCGGATGCAGTGCACGCGAGCATCACCGTCAAGCGCGTTTTCTGGTAGCCTGCAGTGCGGATTCGGACCGAGCGCGCACCGTGGTGCTCGATCGTCCGTTCGGCTGGCATCTCCACGAATAGTGGAGTCTGGTCCGCGTTGATTATGCGGGCCAGGTCGATGTTGCGCCGCGCCCTGTTGATGCGCACGAACTTCCAGAAGGACTCGCAGTCCTTCGCGCACTCTGCAAACGGTACACGCGCAACGGAAACACGGGATGGTTAGACACTGGGTGAGGGACATGCATTCAATAGCCCGCGCGCGACACGAATTCCTTCAACACGCACCTGCCGACAGTCGTTGGCCGACCTTGGTCTTCACCCGCATCACCAGGTTCCAGCGGTCACGGAAACGCTGGCTCCAGTGAGAGCTCGCGCTCCACTTCTTGCCGGCGTGATGCTTCTTCATCCACTCGCGGCTCCACTTCTGGGTGTCCTTCACCGAGATGGCCACCCCGTTAGCGCGCTGAAGGCACATGTAGCGGTACAACGCTGCCTCCATGTCGGGGTAGTGTGAGTGGCGCCCCCCCCCCGTGCATCCGCTTGCGGCAGCTAGCCGCGCCCTTGTAGACGCCCGCAGCCGCCTCCGCACTCCAGCGTCTGATGCAGGCGATGGACGCGGTTGACTCCACGCTCGTCTTCTTCAAGGAGCCGAGCTCCAGATAGTGGCGCGCCCACTTAAGCTTCTCACGCACGGTCCAACTGCGGCGCTTCCTCGTAGTGTCCTTGCTGCGAGGGGAAGGTGGGCGGGTGTTGGGATTATGGAGGGTGGGGTCCTTTGGCGTGACCTTCTCAGGGACATGGGAATCGGGCCCGCCGCCGCCGCGTACTCATCGTCGCTGCCCAGAGTCTCGTTCACGACGATGTCGTCAGGATTCGGCGCCTTCTTCGCCTTCTTCTTAGCCGCACCCTTGCTAGATCCCGGGTCTCCGTCGGATGTCCGCTTCTTGTTGCTTGTGCGGCGACGAGCAGGGGCCTTAGCAGGGGCTTCCGCGACCTTGGCTTTTCCCTTCTCTGCAGCGGTGAGTTTCGGGCGACGCTCCTCCCCCGGACTATCGTCGTCAAAGAGCACCATGCGGGCCCGCTTCGACTTGGACTGTAGGCGATGGCGCAGCCTCCGCTTCAGTAGCGGAACGTCGTCGTCTGTCCCAAGGCTCCATGGGTCGTCGTCGCCCCTTTCACCGTCAAATAAGACGGCATCCGCAGCAACCGTGTCCGACTCTGCCACAGCATCCGCATCCGCAACTGCGGCCGCGCCGTCTTCAGCCTCCTCATTCGCATCCATCGCCGCTTCCTGTGCATCCGCCGCTGCCTCCGCGTTGTCACCATTCGCATTTTCACCTTCGTCGTTGTCCGAATCTCCAGCCCGCCACTCTTCCACCTCGTCGTCGCTCCCGACCGGCCGATTCCACCATTCGTCCTCCTCGATATCGGCAGGACCTAATTCGTCGCCCGAAGCGCTGTCGTCGTGGCCGTTCTCCGGCCAATCCTCCTCGGCGTCGTCGCCGTTCGCTTCTTCTCCATCGTCCCCGTCACAGCTCGCACCAGAGGCCGCGGTAGGACTTCCCGCCTTGCTCGCGTTCTTTGCCAAGGCTACACCGATGTCATCACCGGGTGAGTTAATTCGCCCGTAGTTATGTCAGAACTTTATAGCTTATGCTGTTGTGTAGGCTATAGTGGGGTATCCCATAGGGGGTACAACCCAATTAGGGTTTCCTATTTGTACTCACTCATTCATAGTTCATTCATTCTCGTTTCAGTTTTCTCATGGTATCGAGCAGGTTCCCTCGTGGGAACTGTTCCTAGGGCCCACCGTCTCTTTTTTCCTGCCCGGAGCGCACTCCGCCCCTGCCCGAGTCGCGCTCCCCTCTCTCTCGGCCCCTAGTGGCCCCTTAAACCGCCCGTCCCGGCCCTTAGACGCCCGCGCGCCGCCCGTCCCAGCCCTTAGACGCCCGCGCGCCGCCCGTCCCTGCCCCTAGACGCCCGCGCGCCGCCCGTCCCGGCCCTTAGACGCCCGCGCGCCGCCCGTCCCGGCCCCTAGACGACCGCGCGCCGCCCGTCCCGGCCCCTAGACGCCCGCGCGCCGCCCGTCCCGGCCCTTAGACGCCCGCGCGCCGCCCGTCCCGGCCCTTAGACGCCTGCGCGCCGCCCGTCCCGGCCCTTAGACGCCCGCGCGCCGCCTGTCCCGGCCCTTAGACGCCCGTGCGCCGCCCGTCCCTGCCCCGCGCCGCCGTCCCGACCCCACGCCGCCCGTGCGCCGCCCGTCCCGGCCCCACGCCGCCCGTACGCCGCCCGTCCCGGCCCCGCGCCGCCGTCCCGGCCCCACGCCGCCCGTGCGCCGCCCGTGCCCCGACCCGTCGCCGCCCGTGCGGTATTCGCCCCGGCCCCAAGCCGCCTGTCCCGGCTCTTCGCCGCTCGTGCACCGCCTGTCCCTGCTCGTCACCTACTGCACAGCCGAGCCGCAGCCGAGCCGCCGAGCAGCCCAGCAGCCGAGCCGCAGAGCAGCCGAGCCGCCGAGCAGCCCAGCAGCCGAGCCGCCGAGCGTTCGAGCCGCCCTTCTTCCGAGCCGCCCGACCTGCACAGTCCGGTAAGCACAGCTCCTTTTGTCACTGCAGTGCCCCCCCCACCCTACTGCTTGCACTACTGGTCGTCTAGGGTCATGGCTACTCCTAGTGTCCTCGCCTTTGATGCTGAGGGTAGGGCCATTGACTTTGAGGTCTGGTTAGATGACCTGCAGCTGTTCTTACAGTGCGATAGGGAAGACAGTCTCTCTCTCTCTTTGACCTCACCTCTGGCACAGCCCCTGCCCCTGCTGCTGATGCTGACCCCACTGTTCGCTCCCAGTGGGCCACGCGCGACGCTGCTACACGTCTTGCTGTGCGTCGCCACCTCCCTACCTCTGAGCGTGCGCACTTTAGTCAGTACAAGAGTGCTCAGACCTTGTACGACGCTGTAGTTGCGCGCTACTCCTCCCCTGCCACTGCTGCACTGAGCCGTCTCATGCTACCGTACCTCTTCCCTGACCTTGCTGCTTTTCCCACAGTCGCTGACCTCATTACCCACCTCCGCACTAGTGACACTTGCAACCGCGCTGCACTCCCTGCTGACTTCTGCGCCAAGAACCCCCCTCCCATGTACATCACCCTCTACTACATAGTCACTCGTCTCCCTGACTCCCTTCGCGTAGTCAGGGACCACTTCCTCTCAGTCTGTCCCACCACTCTCACTGTCGACCTCCTCCAGAAGTCCCTACTAGCGGCCAAGAAGGGCATTGTTGCTGTAGGGGCCTCTCGTGGTGACCCGCGCACCCCCATCTTTGAGGGGTGTTCCCATTCCCCCCTTCTGCCCTCTGTTGCCTCTGCTGCTACGGCCGACCTCCTTGGTCTTGAGTCGGTCGGTGCGGCGTCTGCCCCTAGTGGGAGACGCCGCCCTGGCAAGGGCAAGGGGGGCAAGGGCACTGGAGGAGCGAGCGGGGGCAGTGGAGGTGGAGGTGGCGGCAGTGGGGGGAGTGGGGGTGGCGCTGGGGGTGGAGGTGGGGGTGGGGGGGTCGGTGGCGGCAGTGGAGGCGGAGGTGGCGGCGGTAACGGCGGTGGAGGCGGCGGTGGACGAGGTGGCGGCGGTGGAGGCGGTGGCGGAGGCGGCAGCAGTAGCGGAGGCGGCGGAGGCGGCGGAGGCGGCGGGGGTGGCGGTGCAGCTGGTCGCGGGTCTTCGCAGAGGAGTGGCTCCGGTGGTGCCACGCGCCAGCAGCAGCAGCGCGGTCGGGAGGGCATGTCCCCTCAGCAGCTCCGTGAGTGGTACACGCAGCGTCAGCGTGGTGGGAGCTTTGGTCCCTGCACCTACGTCCTTCGCACCGGCGACGGCGCGGGTGAGCAGTGTGGGGGTGCCCACACCGCCCAGCGCTGCTTTGGCCGCCTGACGGACGCTTGGCGTCAGCAGTTCCCGGAGGCCAGTGAGATTCCCCGCTGGGGAGAGTTGTCTAGGGCAGGCGTAGCTATCTTTGATCTAGACTTTGATGCTATCCTTGCTGCCATGTATGCTGTGACTATTAGTGATGAGGGTGACTGTTACCAGTGTTTCCCGCCCGACCCGGGCATTGGTACTGCTGCTCTAGGTGCCGGTGAGGCTGCTGCTCTAGGTGCCAGTGCGTCTGCGCCCTCAGGTACTGGTGAGTCTGCGCTCTCAGGTACTACGTCGGCTTCGGCCTCCCTCACCTTCACCCTTAACTCTGGGGCTTCTCGCTCCTTCTTTCGGGACCGCACCACACTCACGCCGCTTAGTCGGCCGGTTGCGGTGTCTCTGGCTGACCCCTCTGGGGGTCCTGTCTTGTCTCCCTTCTCTACAGTCCTCCCGTGTCCGGCGGCTCCCACTGGCACCCTATCTGGTCTCTACCTCCCCTCGTTCTCTACGAACCTCGTGAGTGGGGCTGACCTACAGGATGCGGGTGTCCACCAGTTCACTCCTGCACGCCAGCGGGTGACGCACTGCACCGAGGCTAGCACAGGCCGACACCTGGCTACGTTTACCCGTCAGCCAAGGTCGAGCCTGTACACACTGACCACTGCGTCTCCTCCCGTTGCTGAGTCTGGTAGGGTAGCTGCGTCGGGTCGGGTGTTTGCTGCAGCGTCCAGGTCTGGTCCTGAGTCTGCCCCCTGTTCGTGTCGTCTCCTGTCTCACGAGACTCTCCTCTGGCACCACCGCCTTGGTCACCCCTCTCTACTTCGGCTCAGAGGCATGGCCTCCCGTCTTCTTGTGTCTGGTCTGCCCCAGTCCCTCCCTCCTCTTCCTCAGGGTCCCGGCCCTGCTTGTGTCCCCTGTGTCGAGGGGCGCCAGCGTGCTGCCCCTCACTCCTCCCAGTTTCCTCTGACGGAGGCCCCATTGCAGACGCTTCACATGGACGTGTGGGGCCCAGCCCGCGTCCGTGGACAGGGTCACGAGCGCTACTTCCTGCTCGTTGTTGACGACTACTCGCGTTACACCACAGTCTTCCCCTTGCGCAGCAAGGGTGATGTCACTGAGGTGCTGATCGACTGGATCCGCGCAGCTCGTCTCCAGCTCAGGCAGAGCTTTGGCTCGGACTTTCCTGTTCTGCGTCTGCACTCGGACAGAGGCGGAGAGTTCTCCTCTGGCCTTCTGCGAGCGTTCTGTCGTGCACGAGGCATCCGTCAGACCTTCACGCTTCCGGACTCACCGCAGCAAAATGGGATTGCTGAGCGCCGCATTCGCATGGTCATGGACGTCGCTCGTACGTCCATGATGCATGCGGCTGCCCCCCATTTTCTGTGGCCGTTTGCGGTCAGGTACGCGGCGCATCAACTCAACCTTCACCCCAGGGTCTCCAGACCGGAGACCTCCCCAGCCCTGCTGTGGACGGGGAAGGTTGGCGATGCGTCGGCGTTCCGGGTCTTGGGATCTCGGGCGTTTGTCCGCGACTTGTCTGCGGACAAGCTGTCCCCTCGTGCTGCTCCTTGCGTCTTCCTGGGGTTCCCCCCTGACGCGCCTGGGTGGCAGTTCTACCACCCCACCTCTCGCCGTGTTCTGTCCTCCCAGGACGTCACGTTGGACGAGTCGGTCCCCTACTACCGCCTCTTGCTCTACCGCACCCCGTCCCTCCCCCCACCCTCGCTCTTCCTTGTCCCAGGTCCCCCCCCGGTAGACCCCCTCCCCCCTCAGGGTCCTGCCCCTTCAGGTGTGTCCCAGGTAGACGCAGTCGAGCCTGTCGAGGTTACTGGTGACTCTGGTGCTGCTGAGGGTGCTGAGCCTGGGGGTGCTGCGACTGGGGGTGCTGAGCCTGGGGGTACTGAGACTGGGGGTGCTGAGCCTGGGGGTGCTGAGCCTGGGGGTGCTGCGCCTGGGGGTGCTGTGGCTGGGGGTACTGAGCCTGGGGGTGCTGAGCCTAGGGGTGCTGCGACTGAGAGTGCTGAGCCTGGAGGTGCTACGCCTGGAGGTTCTCCGGGGGCTTCGTCTCGCCGGGAGCCACTCTCTCCCCCGGAGTTGCGCGAGTGGTTTGCACGGCGCTGGAGGCGTGCTGCTGGAGCTGGAGGTTCTTCGACTGCTGAGGGTGCTGGTGGTGAGGGTCCCGGAGGTGCTCGTGCTGGGAGTACTGGAGCTGCTGGGCCTGCGGTTTCGACTGGAGCTGGTGCTGCTGCGGGCGTTGGTGCTGAGCCTCCCGCCCGCGGTCCTGCTGGGGGTGCTACTGGTGCTGCTGGAGCGGGTGCTCCTTCTGGGGGTACTGGTACTGTCCCGGTTGTGTCTGGCGTCGCCGCGTGGCCTCGATCGTACTTCGTTCCTCTCCTGCAGCAGGTTCTTGGTCTTCCACCTTCTACAGGTCCTCCTCCTTCTATCGAGTGTCCACAGCCTGTCCCGTCACAGCTACAGTTACAGCCTGCCTCCCCACTACCTGCTCCCTCTCCTTACACTGGTCCTACTGGAGGTCTTGCTGAGCGTCGTGAGCCTGTGTCTCGTCCTGCGTCGCCTGTTCGTGCTGCTCACACTAGTGGTTGCGGTTCGCGTCAGCGTCCTCCTCCTGTCCCTGGCACGCACCAGATGTCTCTGCGTCCGTCCACTACTCCTCTGCGTGCCCCTTTGCCTTCTCCTCCTGAGTCCTCTCTTCCTACTCTTGCCGACCCGAAGTCGGACTCTCTTCGTGCTGTCAGTCATACTGTCACGCGTCTCCTTGCTATTGTTGTCACTGACCCTTCTTTCGAGTCCACTGCTGCGTCTGCCCTCGTTGCTGAGCTCATTGACTTTGCTGCTCGCTGTCGTCTAGACTACGCTGCTAGTCTTGTCGCTGAGTCTGAGTCTGTCTGTCCTCCGTCCGTCGGGGGTGAGTGTGCCCTTGGCACGGACGTCCTGGAGGACAAGCAGGAGGAGTTCCAGTGCTTGGCCGCTGCTTCACCTCACCTCGTGTCCGTACTGCTTACCCCTGAGGGAGACCCGGATGCACTTGACATCCCGACTCCGCGCTCTTACGCGGAGGCGATAGAGGGTCCCTACTCTTCAAAGTGGCAGGCAGCTATGGATGCAAAGATGGCGTCCTGGAAGTCCACAGACACCTACGTTGACGCTGTCCCCCCTCCTGGGGTGAACATCGTCAGTGGCATGTGGATTTTCAGGGTGAAGCGGCCGCCGTGTTCTCCGCCTGTCTTCAAGGCACGGTACGTGGCTCGTGGCTTCAGTCATCGGCAGGGAGTTGACTAGTTTCAGACCTTCTCTCCCACCGGAAGATGACCACTCTTGCTCACTTGCTCACTTCTTGACCTTGCTTGTACTGTCATATATATATACTCTTGCTCTTGCTTACTTAGCCTCTTATATATATATATATGCTCCTGCATGTGAACTGGCCTTCTGGCCTTGTACTTGTGCTCAGAATGTGTGGTGACTTTGTGATCCACCCTGAGCTTTGCTTTGCTTTGCTTGACTGGTCTTGTGACCCCTTGTTCTCCCCCACTTTGCTTATGGGGGTGTGTCAGAACTTTATAGCTTATGCTGTTGTGTAGGCTATAGTGGGGTATCCCATAGGGGGTACAACCCAATTAGGGTTTCCTATTTGTACTCACCTCATTCATAGTTCATTCATTCTCGTTTCAGTTTTCTCAAGTTATTCACCTGCACGTGAGGACGAGGAGAGGACGAGCCTGGGGGTCCTTTGCTGCGCGTGGTTAGAAAGCCTGCCGAGAGCCAGGTTGAGACGAGTATTCCTAAACCCTTGAGCACCAAATGAAGTGAGAGGCCGACTACCCCCCCCAGCCAGAATGCCCCATCCACAGGTGCCGAGCCACTCCTCTACGAGGCATCTCCTCGTAGAGGACAGCCCTCAAGATGCCAACGTGCTGCCAGCAGCGTTCTGGAAGCATCCCTATGCTACTGGCAGCAATACGACGTTGGCAGCATCATTAGATGCTGCCAGCACAGAGGAATATTGCCAGCGGTGGCAGCTCCCTCATGTGGAAGTGTGGGCGCTGCATGCATCACCAGCGAGGTCGGCCTGTTTCAATGAATCTGGTCTCTATGTGTTTTCTACACACTTTGCAAGTGTTACAGTCAACTTAAAATTTTTTCCATTTATAAGACTTATAAGACACCCTAAACCATCCCGTTTACAAGATAACTCAAGTATTTTTGCCCGTGTACGAGATAAGACATATATGTCTTATATCTGGGCGATGACGGTAATTTTTCTGGAAGATACCGTAAGTTTTCTCTTATTTGTCAGGGTTTTGATTTTAGCTACACTGATAGACCAGTGTATATTTGTGGCGAATGCATTCTTCTCTGTACAGAGTATAGGCATTACAATATACCACTATGTGTGAGAATGCTACGGTAGTTCTTGAGCGTGTAGCACAACTACACAGTTATGTAGGAATTTTGAAGGCCTGGGTTCAATACTTGAGAGGACACCCAGTTGGAAAAGTAGATGCTCTGACTGCCCTAAATATGTTATTCAGAAGTTAATTTTTCTCTGACAAATCATAGTAAAGCTCATAATGATCCCTGGATTTCAGAGTTGCCTAGAAAACAGCTCTGAAAATCCGAGTAGTGAAAATCCAAAAAAAAGCCCTGGTACGTGCTCGCGGAGGAACATAATTCTCGCCACAGCCTTCATGCCGAAATACCGTAGGTTTCGCACACCCTCACCTACTGCCTATTTCAAATCCACATAACCTGAAAATTTACCATGCTGACCCCGGCAGGCCTCTGGATAGGATTTGAGTTGGTCTTTCCCATAAGGCCAACATCCTAGTTTCACTCTTTCAATCAGGGTACAAATTCAGAACACACTTATAAATCAGGGTGGAACTTTAAACAAGTCGTCAACAACCTTTTTACCAGATAGTTAACTCGTGTTCTGGTGTCCAGTTGTGTAGAAGTGATAATTTGTAGTGAGCACGTGGGTTCAGAACCCGCCGCAGGCGCTCGCCAATACTCTTTTCGCGTGGAATTCTGACAGACTCGGTAAGAACTAGATCAGAACCGTCAGTATACCTACATGGAGTTGATCAACAGCACTCTGAAATATCAGTGTCGTTAATCTAAACACTTTTTCTTGTAAGGGTCAATGGAAAAGCCACTCTGGTAAAAAAGGGTGCATAAGAAAACCCACCCTTATAGTAAGTGTCATAAGGGTGAATCACCCTTATATCAAGAGGCCTGGACCCCGGGCCTTAACGGGATCAGGAACCATTGCTGTGAGCTTGAGCCGGCGAATTGATTTGACCCCAATGCACTGTTGCTGGAACCAGCATCTCATACCCCACATTCTCATGTTTTTGGAATATATCTGCATGCTATTACCGCAGTTTGAGCCTCATGTTTTAAACTCAATATAAGGAGCATGCGGCCTTTTCCACAATCTTTTATGAGCGTACATGAGCTTATACCTGGGGAAATTACAACAGTTGCACAAGCTGAGCTACCGTTTCCCAAAATTTCCTCCATTCTTGCAAATTCCTCCTGCTGCCCATCCATCAGTCATCGTATGTCTCATGTGGCCCGGCCACACAGCCTGGATCAAAGGGGTCGGTGGCGCCACAGCAGTGCCAGTATGCGGTGATCTCACCTCCTCCCACTGTGTTCATTGTCCCGCCCGTGTACACACTCTCAAACTTGCGCTTGGTTTCACCTGTGAGGGGGATGAGGGGGGACGGAGTGGCAGGGCCACCAAGGGAAGTGGGTGATGAGGAACAGGGAGCGTGCGTGCATGTGTGTGTGTGTGTGTGTGTGTGTGTGTGTGTGTGTGTGTATGTGTGTGTGTGTGTGTGTGAGCGAGAGAAAACGAGAGCGAGAGAGAGAGAGAGAGAGAGAGAGAGAGAGAGAGAGAGAGAGAGAGAGAGAGAGAGAGAGAGAGAAATGGGGACAGAGAAATGGGGAACATTCGAGAGAGAAGGGGGGGGGGGTGGGGACAGAGAAATGGGGAACTGAGAAAGGGGGTATGGAGAAACGGGGTACGGAGAAACGGGGGATGGATGTAAGAGATTGAGGGAAACATGTGCACTCACCGCCATAGTGCCGCTCACCACTATAGTGCCGCTCACCACTATAGTGCCGCTCACCACTATAGTGCCGCTCACCACTACAGTGCCGCTCACCACTATAGTGCCGCTCACCACTATAGTGCCGCTCACCACTATAGTGCCGCTCACCACTATAGTGCCGCTCACCACTATATTGCCGCTCACCACTATAGTGCCGCTCACCACAATAGTGCCGCTCACCACTATAGTGCCGCTCACCACCGTAATGTGCCGTGTGGTGTCTGCAGGCCATGGGGTGGTTGTCAGCGGGGCTGAAGGGCTGCTTGCAGTTGCGGCACGTGCGCACGTCCGAAGCGGAGCTGCTGCTGCTGCTGCTGCTGTTGGCGGTGCAGCGTGTTGTTACAGTGTGGTGTCGCTTTGCACACAAACCGAAGCGGACAGAGGAGGAGGTGGAAAGTGTATGCTTGTTTGAAAGACAGGGATTGCGAAGGGAAAGGACGGAATCTGGATGTGCAAGGGAGTTGAAACCGGGGAGGAGAAAGGGGGCTGGAGAGTGGCGTTGAAACGTGATAGAGTGAGGTGACGAGAAAGGGTGGGAGATAGGATCGCCGCAGTGCGAGGCATCCTAGTTGGAGATTTGCAGGTCCTGGGTGGAAGAAAGATGGGACGCTCTGAGATGGATGTTTCTTAGCTTGCGTAGTTGTAAATGTATTGCAAGGAAATGCAAACTGAGCGCAACTGAAAAGCGCGTCGACAGACTTGGTATGTGCGTAGGGAGGCATGGAGCGAAACAGAAGAGAATGGTCATACGGCATTGGTTTCAAGAAGATGAGAGGAACGACATCGGTGTTCAGCGTCATTGGCTCAGCGTCATTGGCTCAGCGTTACAGGCTCAGCGACATTGACCATGTACGGCGATGTGAGCGCAACGAGCCTAAGGCAGTGCGAGAACAGGTCGCGGCGTTTCAAAAGGCGAAGGAGGAACGAATGAATGAATGAATGAATGAATGAATGAATGAATGAATGAATGAATGAATGAATGAATGAATGAATGAATGAATGAATGAATGAATGAATGAATGAATGAATGAATGAATGAATGAATGAATGAATGAATGAATGAATGAATGAATGAATGAATGAATGAGTGAGTGAGTGAGTGAGTGAGTGAGGAGTGAGTGAGTGAGTGAGTGAAAGAATGAGTGAGTGAACGAATGAACGGATGAATGAATGAATGAATGAATGAATGAATGCCAACGGCCACATAGATGCTGCCTGAGACTCACGCTGCTGTAACAACAAAGTTCTCGAGTGGACGAACATTGACGTCATTGCGACGAGCGGCTTCCGTACGCCTTTGCGAAAACCGAAGGCGAAACGGCTGCGGAATGTGTCGCGTCGATTGTGCTGCCAGTCGGAGAGATTATTCCACGCTTGCAATGCTAGTGGAATGGTGTGGGAGACAACAGTGGAACGGAAGTGTGAAGAGAGGAGACTAGTGAGGATGAGAGAAGGCAACTCCCAGATTTGTCTGCTGTGAATCCTGATATTGTGGTCTGGCGTGAATGATTACCCCATGGGATCTGGTCAGTTGAACTAATGATTTCTAGCGTGGTTTGGTTGGTTATGGTGAGATGGGAAAGAGTACTGCGGTTCTGCTCAATCTGTTTGTATGCACACCTTTCGCTCAATTGTACCCCGTATAACATTCTGCCATTGCTTTGAATCAGCTTTCGTTCACGTTATCCAGAATGTGGCAACGGGTATCCTCGACCCGTGTTCACGAAGATTTGTGTTATCACTGAGAGCTTGGTCTTGTCAGGGCATCTGTGCCACCGGCCCAGCGCCTGGACAGAAAGCTGAGAGACTAACTAGATTTCAGAACGACTTGCAAGAGTAAAACAAATAACCACCATGAGTAGCGTACCGCGGATCGTTCTCTCCCCCTCCGTTTCCCGCATCGACCTTTCCGCGTGCCCGCGGAGGTCGCAGGCTGAACTGGCTGCGCGTGGACTGCTACTTCCGCCTAAACCCGGAACCCTGAACCCAGGAACCGGCGCAGAAACGACAGCGCCAGAAGGGAGCAATCAATTCCCCAATACCGGAGATAGGGTCTCTAATGGAAATATCGATCAGTTTCAAACCAGTCAACCTGCAATCGTCGCATCGGACGTGTCCGAGGAGTCTCGAGTAAGATCCGATGGTGGAGAGCGTCAGTCGGTTGGAGCAGGTGCTGAGGCGATGGTCGTAGCGGCCTTGGATGAGAACTCCACCTTGAGTGAATGTAGCGAGGGACACTATGTCGAGGTGGAGTGGAGTGTGGAGGTGGCGCGCGTGGTGCGAGTAAGACGCCTGAGCCGTCGATTGGTGTTTCTGGATGTCGAGATCATGACCGTTGGTGATGTGAACGAACGCGATATGAAGCACATGGAGCAACAGCAAGAGGAGCAGCAGCGGTACGAGCGGGATTCATCGGCGGCTGGCGTGAATGACGTCAGCTCCGCCGTAGTTGACGTCAGCGGCACGCTAGAAGTTGCGCTGAAGCATCCCACATGTCCGGACGTGCGCGCAAATGCCCGCCACGCGCACGTAGGCCGGCTCGTGTCGCTCCGCGGCCCCCTGGTAGATTTGCAACCCACTAGGGCTCCTATCAAGGCGGCTAATAACGAGGACGCGCAAATCCCCGCGACTTTCCGCCTGCCCCTTTTCTTCGCAGCGTCATTAACCGCATTCCCAGCCGCCGGCTCCGACAAGCTAACCTCCGCCGCCGCCGGCGTTGCCGCGGCTGGCGGAAGGGCGGAGGGGGAGTGTGCGGAGGAGAGCGGGGAGGAGGGTCGGGGAAGCGGAAATGCTAGCGCAGGGGCAAGCGCAGCCGCTGGGGCTGGCGCAGGCGCGGATGCACTGGGCTGGCCCATAGTGGCGCCTGGGTGGGGCGTTTGGGAGAACCTGCCTGGCGGTGGGGGGAGCGACGGCGCGCGGAAGGGGAAGGGGGAGGCGGAATGGGCGGGTGAGGTACACGACGGTTGGGGAGGAGCGGAGGGCGGAGAAGGGGGAGCGGAAGAAGGGAAGGAAGGGGAAGGAGGAGGAGTGGGAGGCGAGGGAGGATTGGAGATTGGGGGCATGGGAGGGAAGGGGGAATGGAGCGAGAAGCAAAGGTCAGAAGAAGAGCATAAACCTCAAACCCTGAAACCTTCAGCCCGAGTTTCCTTGTTGAGTCCAAGCAGCCCTCCGCTTCCTCCTGACTCCTCCCCTACCTCTTCCCAGCTTCCCTCATCACCCACCCTTCACCTCTCCGCCCTCCCCCCGCTCCCCCCTTCCGCCCCGCCCCTCTCCTCTCTCTGCAAGCACTACCTCAACTCGGCGCACTGCTCCGCCGCGCCCTTCTGCGCGCGCGCGCACCCGCCGCCCGCGCTGCTCCCCCTGCTGCGCCTGCACTGGATCGCGCACAGGCAGCACCGGCGCCGCCACTGCTGCAGCCAGGGGGAGCGGGACCCGCACAGCGCGGAGGGGAAGCGGGGGAAGCAGGTGCGCGCGGATCTCTTTGCTGCGTGGCTCGTGGGGACGTTCGGACGGGGGAGACTGATGGGGGAAGGCGGGGGGCCGGGAGGAAACGGGGAGAGGGAGGATGACAGGGAGAGGGGAGAGAGGGTGAAGGGAGGGGGCAACGGGGAGATGGGGGACGGCAGGAAAGAAGGGGGCGGCGGGAAGGGGGTTTTAGACGTGGCAGGGGGGAGGGGGGCGTTGGCGTTTGCATTGGAGCAGAGGCATGGGGTGCGGGCGACTGTGGTTGACCCGCGAGGAGTGCGGCTGAACAAGAAACAGGTACGGGAACTGATGGGTATTGGCAGGGTGGGGAATGGGTCATGTGGGAAAGTGGGGAACGGGGGTGTGGGGTTGATGGGAGAAGGTGGGAGGAGGGGAGAGGAGGGGGATGGGGAGAAAGGAGAGGGAGAGGGAGGGTGCAGAGTGCCTGATTCGTTTGTAGCAGCAGCAGGAGAAGCGGCAGCAATAAATGAAGAAGCAGTAGTGGGAGAAGCGACAAGACCAACAGAATCCGCATTGTTTGCAGCACCAGTGCAAGAGGTGGAAGCACCAGCACCAGCAGCATCAGCTGCAACAAATGCACCACCAGCACCAGCAGCAGCAGCAGCAGCAGCAGCATCAGCTGCAACAAATGCAGCATCAGCTGCAACAAATGCACCACCAGCACCAGCACCAGCAGCATCAGCTGCAACAAATGCACCACCAGCACCAGCAGCAGCAGCATCAGCTGCAACAAATGCACCACCAGCACCAGCAGCAGCAGCATCAGCTGCAACAAATGCACCACCAGCACCAGCAGCAGCAGCATCACCCGCCATCACCCCCTCCTCCCACCAGTCAAAGAAGGCCCTCAGAAGAGCCTATCTCTCAGGCGCCCTCTGGAAACCCCACTCTATCCAAAAGGAATTTTCCGCTGCTGACCCTTCCTGGGCAGCTTCAAAGTTTTCTTGTTTTGTGGGCCTCCATCCTGATGAGGTCACGGGGGATATAGTTTTTGCCGCTGCCCGAGCCAAGGTTCCGTTCGCGGTGGTCCCCTGCTGTGTTTTTCCGGGCCGGTTTTCTGCCCGGATGGTGGCTGTGGGCGGGCAGATGAAGAAAGTGGAGACGCATGCGGATCTAGTGGAGTATCTTTCAGCCTTGTGCCGGTATTTTGGGGGCAGCCCGAAGATTGACTGGCTGAATTTCTCTGGGCAAAATCTGGTTCTGTATTGCATGGAGTACACATGATGCATGTTTCTGAGCGATGGGGATGGAGGTGATGCCGTGGGCGCTTTGCTGTAAACCTCAAAGATTCTGTTGGAAACAATCGGTCCTAAGCGCCTCTGCCGTGTCGAAACACCAAGTCAGAAGCGAAGCGAAGTATATCGAAGCACCGGCGAGTCAACCCTCGGAGGTTGAGCGGTTGATAGAGGTTACGCGAAAGACAAAGGTTAGCGACCTTTGACCTGACAAATACAGCGCGACAGCAAGGACACACAACTGACTCGTTAAAATAGTTATAACTGTGTCTTTTCATATTCCTTGTATTCATATATAATCTTGTATCTCTTTGCTTTAATCAACTTACTTTGCCCTCACATACGGTACTAGCGCAAGGTGGTTCACAACCCTTTAATGAACGCTTCCGCTACTACACCAACTCTACCCAGAGTTCACCCCTGCAAAGATCCTAAGGGCTTTTCAGCCCAACATGGTATGAGAGCAATCAGGGGGAATTCAACTTCTATACCGACAACATCAATCAGCATGGCTACACATAAGGAAAGGAGCAACTCCAACGGCTCCCAGGACACTACTCCTACTCCACCTCCTGCCTCTGGCCTACAGACAGAGGAGGGCACGGCAACAAGACCCAGAGCAACATCTACCGAGACTCCCGCGAATCAACCTGCAGACTTCGACCAGAGCATGATGGAGAAGTTTTTCTCCTTCATGTCCTTCTACGAGCAACACCAGCAATCGGCACATGCGCAGTCACACAACAGCAACAACAACGGAGCAACACCCATGAGTCTCGACGGCTCATCATATGCACGAGGAAATCAACAACAGCAGCCTACCTTTGCTCCGTACGAGCGCGGGTCCATCAGCTTTATGCCACACCCACAGTCCTCACCTGGACAAGAAAAATCACTGGACGCATTACAATTTCAGTCGCAGTTCGCACACGTTCTGAAGATGCAGACGTTAAGACCCTTTGATGGAATGGACTTCTTCACCTGGTCGTTCGAGTTTGAGCTGATGATGGAAGGCGCGCAGATACTCGGGTTCTTCGACGGGTCTCTGCCATACCCAACAAACGGCACACAGTACGAGAAGCAGCAGTACACCTATCAGTCAATGATGGCGTACACGATCCTACTGAGGAACAGGGCTAATTTTATCAGTGTAAATCACCCTGATACGGTACCTTGATAATCAGGGTGGTTTTTGGGAGTAACACTGATGGTCCAGGGTAATTTTTCTAAGAGTCAATACTACCCTGATGTGTCAAGGTTTACAATATAGGCACACTGATGACTAAGGGTTTCCGTATTCAATAACAAGTTGTTCCCTGAAGCGAGTTCCATACCCCCCCCCCCCCCCCCCCCCCGCCCCCCCAGTTCCCCCACCCCCCCTTTTTCCAGTAACATGGGATTCCCGAATCCCGATGGCCAACTGGCGAAACCGTAATTTCGGTCTTGACAATGCATGTGCTGGCTCAAAGTGGGCCACCATAGGCCAGACTTACAGTTTCTCCAGGGTTTGTCTTTTAAGAACACTGATGCGACACAAATTTTTGAAAACCGACATAAACCCTGATGTAACAGGGTTTTCAGAAGGGGTCACACTGATAATCAGGTTTTTGACCTTGTACCACACTGCTCATAAGGGTAGTCAAAATCCAAAAATTAGCCCTGCTGAGGAACATCACCCCGACTCAACAGCAGAACATAAGGACTTACCGAGGTTACGGCAACTCCGCGGAGCTCGCGTACAACCACCTGAAGAGCGTCTATCAAGCAACAGACAGCATAAGCCAAAGTCGGTTAATGGCGCAACTGACAACGGTTGAAATGAAACCAGGGGAGAAAGGAATGGCGTATATCAGTCGATGTCGCGAGTTGCGCGACAAGCTTCTTCGATGCGGAGGGTCGATTTCTGAAGACGCCTTCGTGACAGTCATCATCGGCGGCCTCGGTCCTCAATGGCGTGCCACAAAGGCCATTCTTCGAGCTCACGGAAGAATCTCCGAAGCAGCGCTCTGCGCCGAAATCTACGCCGAGCAGCAAGACATGGATGTGCAAGAAGAACGACACAGAAAGAAGACATCAGCACCGGAATTCGCGTTCCACACTCAGCGACGCTACAACAACAACAACAACCGGCAGCAACAACCGAAGCCAGTACCTCCGTTCTGCCACATCTGCAAAACTTCAGGACACCCGCGTACGCAATGCCCGAATCGTCAACAGTCAACAACTCCACAGCGGCAACTTCGACCTTCAAGCAGCCAAATCGCCTCAACGCAAGCAAATCCCACGACTCAGATTCAAGCCTCAACGACCTCAACAGGACAACCTGCACAAGGAGCAAGAAACATCGTCAGCTGCATGGCAAAGCTGAGTGACTCCTGCATCACCGAGTTACCACCACACTACTCACCGAAAGAACAACTCGACGAAACCACACCCCGTCGCGAGTCACCTCAGCCGAACCCGACATACGCCGCCATTGCCCAAAGCGAACCATCCGGAAGGGACACATGGTTCTTGGACAGTTGCTGCGGACAGCACATGTGCTTCTCGGGACGCTTAAACGAGAATACCAGCTTCAACGCGAAGTTGTCATTACAGTCGCCAACAATCAGAACCTGCGAACACGACGACAAGGCGTAGTTCAACTTCAGTCAAGGGAAACAAACGTTATACTGCAGATGTCAAAAGTACTGATCGCGGAGGGACTCGGCTACAACTTACTGAGCGTCAGTCAGCTAATTGCGAAAGGGATTCACCTCGAAGCAGATAGCACCACCCAAGAATTCAAGCTGTATCACGGGAGGGGAGGACTCTACATCAGCAAGGCGGTCCTCAAGAACAACGTCTTCGTTGTTGACTTCGTTCCTGATCTTGGCACCGCCGACAGCGAAGCCATCGTTAACTTCACCAACTGGACACACCCTCCAGACCTTGATCCAGACTTCAGTCCAGAAGGCTTCTGGTATTCACACACCATCCCCGAAGCAGAGAGAACAAGGGCGTTAGCAACAATTCAGACAACATCAGCAACAGCAGAGACAACAACATCAGCAGCAGAGACAACATCAGTAGCAGCAGAGACAACACCGGCAGCAGCAGAGACAACATCGGCAGCAGCAGAGACAACATCGGCAGCACCAGAGACAGCATCGGCAGCAGCAAAGACAACATCGGTAGCAGCAGAGACAACACCGGCAGCAGCAGAGACAACATCGGCAGCAGCAGAGACAACATCGGCAGCACCAGAGACAGCATCGGCAGCAGCAAAGACAACATCGGTAGCAGCAGAGACAACATCGGCAGCAGCAGAGACAACATCGGCAGTAGCAGAACCATCAACAGCAGCAGCAGGAACGTCGACACCAATTGCTGGTCCTTCAACAACACCGCTCCTCATCCACGACGCACCACCAACACCCACGCAACAACTACACCCAGCACCACGAGAAGTTCATCGTAGCGCCAACTTCACCGCCAACTTCTACTCCAACTCCGATATGTACCGACGATCACCCGGACATCGCGTCGACGAAAGCACCTGGCACGCAAGGATGGGACACCCAAGCAACACAGTATTAAACAATACGATAAGAGCAAGACTACTCGACAAGGACTCACTCCTACTGTCCGACGGACGAGAACTTCAACGAGTACGAGGAACGTGCTTCACCTGCCCTGAAGGTGACTTACCACATCGACCGTTTGCGTCTCATCACAACCCGAGCGCACCCGCGTACGCACCACTCGAGAAGGTGTATAGCGACATCCTGTTCAATCGGGAACCAGGACAAGTAATATACAACTATACAATCACCTTCATCGACGCCGCCACCCGTTACGTCTGGCACCTAAACCTCCCTAGCCGCGACATGGCATTCGAAGCCTTCGTTGCCTGCCTACCAGTAGCAGAGAGAGAATCGGGCGTGAAACTGAAAAGCTTCCAGTCAGACGATTCAAGCAGTACCTGGCGGACAGGGGAATCAAGCGGCTCATCTCCCTTCCCTACGCCCATCAGCGGCAAGGTGTAGCAGAAAGAATGAACAGGACCTTGCAGAACAGCATGCGCAAACTGTTACGTGGCATGCGGCTACCCAACCACCAGTGGCCTGCGACAATGGAACACACCGTCATGCTGCACAACTTGCTCTCGTAATCATCACTTCCAAACAACGCATCACCGCATCTGCTATGGACAGGGAAACAGGGCAGCACAAAAATGTTACGAGTATTCGGATGCATGGTATAGTACCGACTCCCAGCAGCACGAGCGGGCCGATTTTCTCAACGAGCACAGTGGGGACTACACTTGGGAATCGAAAAAAACTACAACGCGTGGAAAATCTTCGACGTCCATTCCAAGGAAACAGTAGCAGCACGTGATGTATTTTTCTACGAACGACTCACGCTCCACACATACCTTGCCAACCTGCAAGAAGACCAGGATCCCACAGGTGGTTTTCGCGGTGACCGAGCCTTCGCCTGAGCAGCGGACGAAGCTGACTAGGACGAGCAGAATGTGGACAACGCATCAGAAGAAGCTGGACCTCTTCCGTTCTGCCCCGTCGACGTTCCCATGGACGAAGATAACCCTCGCGAAAGTGTCAACGGCGAAACCTTCTACCATTTTGCCGACAACGGTTACGTAACACCTGCGACAGTCAACACCAACGAAGCAGAACGAGTAGGACGAACTTCATACCTGACCCAGAAGCGGGAGATGAAGCAGCTTATCCCGAGGACGTTTATCTTCCCCACTACTCACAGAGTGGACTGCAAATTCTCGGACTCGTCACCGCAGTCCACGACACCGCCTTGAGAAGAAACGAGGATGAATGAACTATGAATGAAGTGGGTACAAGTACTAACCCTAATTGGGTTGTACCCCCTATGGGATACCCCACTACAGCCTACACAAAAGTATAAGCTATAATGTTCTGACACACCCCCATAGGCAAAGTGGGGGAGAACAAGGGGTCACAAGACCAGTCA